TCTGGGGTGGCATCATCTCTTGATGAAAATAGTCCATTCTGGAGTTCTGTTTTAAATTTTCCAGAAACTTTATAGGTGGAGAACATCCTAAGAGATTGCTAATAAATCTGGGACTGTAATCCTGATGCTAGTTACCCTTTCTGAAGCCACATACACAGTTTGTAAGTGTGTAGTGTTGTTCTGTAGAGTCTTTCAGAAAAGTCCTGCTTACACAGCTGTACCAGAGCTTACTAAATACTAATAAAATTATTCTTGTTTTCAGGGAATTCATTCCCAAAAGGAGCTGCAGTGTTGGAAACTGATGGTATTATTCTGGGTACATGCTTATCCCAATTCCCTGCTTTGTTTTCAGCCATATGATATTAGAACTGTATGTGGAAATGAAGAAATCTGAAAGGAGAATTTAAGCTTATTTTGTAGGACTCTTTGCCTAAGATTTTTGTTTTTCTGACTTAAAAAGTTCCCTGTGGGTTATGAAATAGTCCAGGCCGAGGATACTGCTATGCTTTATTATAGAAAGCTTAATTCAGTCTCTCTGGAAAATCCAGAAACAATTTCTCTTGCTCACAAGTGTGCCAAAAATTGTATAAATTTGCAAATTATTATTTTTCCCTCTTGGGGCATAACTTCAGAGTAGATTGTCAGTTTTTGCAGAACCTCATAAATCTTCCCAAAGTATCCTACAGTGAGAAGAATAGGTACTCATAAAAACCCCAAAAAACAACCCCCCAAAAAACCAAAAAGCCAACAACTTAGTCATCTGTTCAGCAGAACAGCTTTTTATGTTTTATTTACGATTTATAATTCTAGCTTTAACAGACTCAGTCTCATCTGTGAGGAGTTTTTCAACATTCAAGTTTTACATGTAAATGTCAGAAGAGCTTAAAACAGATGTACCATATTTCCTATTTTTAAAGCTTAATAGGGTCTCATATTCTCCATACATTCTATGAGTTTCTAGTAGAGAGAAGACAATAGTATTAAAGTTATTGAACATCAAGTATAGCTGCAGAATACAAGAATAACTTGTCTTTTGTATTAAACAGAATTCTTCAGAATGAAGCTCAAACACACAGTTGCAGATATGATGTGTTTTATCTTTAGTAGGTAAATGCTCTCACTTCTGCTGTTTTGAATTCAGTCTCATACTTCTCTTAAAGTGTTTCAGAATGGTTTTAATTTCTGCTCGAGTTTAATTTCATTGAGTGAACTTTGTAAAGGTGTAAAGTACTTACACCACCTTGTCCTATTTAGTTTCTCATTTCTGTGCTTGGCTGCCTGACACTATTAGTTTTCATTAATGTGTTCACTTAATGTAGGTATTTAAATTTCCAATTCTACTTGTGTAAGAATTGAAATTTAGAAATGCAGTGCTAGGTGTGCATGTATTAGCACGATTTACAAACTTCAGATTTGGGAAAATGATTAGGTGAAGGACAACATGTGGAGAAGTTGCCAAAGCATGTGGCTATGTGCACTGTGCTTTTCTATAGATGATTGTCATAAACACAGTCATTCATCACCCTGAAGTCTGGGAAATTCAAAGGCCACCAGGTGAGCTCACCAGTGTGCTCTGTCATCCGTGAAAGGCAGCAGAGGTGACCCAGTCCCCAGTGACTAGGGAAAGGCAAGTGCTGTACCTCTCTTCAAAAAAAGACCTAAAAATACAATGTGAGGAACAAGAGACCAGTCAGCAGAATTTTGGTCTGTAGTGAAAATTATGGAACAAAACATGTTGGAACACCTTTTTAGACACAAGGAGGGAAGAGGTTGCCTGAAAATGCTTTTTTGTCTCACTGAAACTTTTGCTTTATCAATGGAATTGCACCAAATCTCCTGACTTACTGTGTTCAGGAAGCTATTATAGATAAGTGCTTTAGTTATCCAGAAATTAGAGGTGGGTGGTAAATGTAGGAGAGCAATAGGAAGCATCATTTTTATGATGCTTATGATAATGTTATACTGATAGGAAAGATAATCTTTGTATTTTGCATTGACTGCATCTTTATGCACAGGCCAGTGGGTTTTAATTTCCTTAGATAAATGTCTTAAATTACAAAGATGTGGAAGACAGATATTGTCATATTATATATCTGATATCATAATCATATCTGATTAAAAATTAGATTCAGCTTACAAACCAGGCAAAATGCTATTAAATTAAATCAGATATTTGAAGAAAAAACCCCCACTCTGTATTGCATCTCAAATGGAAGTGTGATAAGGTTGCAGTGTCTGTTACCATAGGACATGTAATGTTTATCCCTAGAGTCACTCACTGTGCATGTACAATAAATTGATAAAACTTCCAACCTGCTGTAGCAAAAGCCAATATCTAGAACTGTCTAGTAACAGTTAGATTTTCCTGCTTACATCATTAGCTTCTGGTTTTTGCTCCAGATTTGGTTAGGCAGTTGCTCTCTACAACTCCTCCATAACCAAATAAAATCTTAAAGATTTCCTTAAATACTTAACTGGATTCCAATATCCACTCTTAGGAAAATAAAAATTTGGTTTCAGTCATTTGCTGGTTATAAACAGAGCCAGTAACTTGTTGAAGTTACACAGTGCCACCTCTTAAAACCCTATATTTTGTTGCATGAATTTGCATTTGTATAGCTTTTTTTTTTACAAAGATGGGTTATGCAAGAATGTCTCAGCATTTTTTTGTTTGGTTGATTTTTTTCCTTTTTCCCTTTTTGAATTTCACTGGTAAAAAGATACATGCAGGTTGTCCAGGGTGAAACCATTCACAGTGGCACTTCTGTTTAGTTTGAGAAACTAGGAGGTAGCATAGGCAACTGTTTCTGACCTCAGAGTTGATGGAAGCTCAGTCTGGATAAAATCAACATGTTGGCCAAAGCAATCAAAAAATGATGGATTTGAGACTTTTTGATTTACTGTGCCTCTTAGTTATTCAGGTTCACAGTCTAAGTAAATCACAGATTTCTGCTAAAGTCAGGGAGCTGCAGCTCCTTGTTTTGTTTAGTTTCTGTGCTTTGGGAGCTAGAAATATGAAGTTGTCCAGTCACTTATACTTTTGTGACATCCAGTATGGATTAGTCTGAGTAATTGCTGAGTAAACAATGTCTGCATAAGCTATGTAAGATTCAGACTCATGTTCTGGAGATGATAGTGCTTTGCATGTAGTTTCCAGATGAGGACAAATTATTTTACAGCTTAGCAATTAAGCAATTGTGGTGACTTAATGCTTCACCTAGATGTTTCAGAACGTGGGTATCTTTTAACCAATGCTATACCAAAATAATCATATTAAGATTACAGCAATGATGAAGGACTTGATCTACATCTTGTTATGTCACATTGTATTAATAGAGTCTCTTATGGCCTTTACTTCACAGAACATTTGGTCTAGATGAGGAAAAACAGATGGGGACTTAGAAAGGCTTATGAGCAGAGCAGAAGATGGAAAAATGGCAAGCACAAGTGTCATTGACATCACATTATCTTGTCATGGGTGTAGTTAGGAGTTTAGTTTGTATTAAAAGGCACAAGCTGGGGAGAAGGCTGAAGGACTCCTGGGCAGTGAGATGAGTGAGTGCTGCTGGGGGTAAAAGTAACTTTGTATTAAAAGGCACAGGCTGGGGAGAAGGCTGAGGGACTCCTGGGCAGTGAGAGGAGTGAGTGCTGCTGGGGGTAAAAGTAAGCAGAAAACAGCAAATCTGGAAGAGGAGAGAAGGCTGGAGGGAACAGTTGGTGCAAAATGGGTATGAGCTGGTCAACTCTGAACGTTTTTAATGTGCAAAGACTGGTTTGGTTCTCTTTAAAGCTGTCCTTGCTGCCTGGTATCTGTCATGGTCCACTCCCAGCAGTGTGCTGGGGAGAGCCAGGGTAGCACTGGGGATCTGTTCCCAAAGGACATAAGGGCGTCCCTAGCCAAGTTCTGCACCCCTTGGCCTCTGCCAGACCTCATCTTGCCCTCCTTGCCAAGCACAGAACTCCCCAATTTAGCTCCTTCTGCAACTCCTCCAACCATCTGGAGTTCATGCCTCCTTCAGAGTAGCAGAACATAAGTAGAAATCTAAGAATGGGGTGTGTTTGCATCAGCTCAGACTACTGTTTTCTTTTTTTAAATTTCAATTAATATTTGTGGATCTTCAGGAAAATAATGTAAATAAAGTTTAATGGTTAATATAAGTCCTTCATGCCATTCTGATGTGGCTTTGTGTAAATAAAGTTTAATGTTTAATATATGTCCTTCATGCCATTCTGATGTGGCTTTTAAGAAACTTATTAGAAGCTTGAAAATATTTTGGGTCTTTCAAACATTCATACTGAGAAAAGAATGTCAATTTTGAGATGCAGAGCTCGCGGAGGAGGGAACAGACTGCGTGTTTAAATGACAGTGTATCCTTTCCCCTTTGGAAAGAACCAAAGCACAGTGCATTTTGAATGTTGATAACTCCCCATTAAAAACTTTAAATGCTCCTAAATGACTTTAACTCACAGAAGGACTGCCTCTTTCTTTCAGATGTGTTAGAATTCATATTAGCACTGCTTTGCCCTTGTTTCTGAATTATTTTAATGACGGCAGCCGCTCCACCAGGCTGTCTGTCAAGATGTGGGTGGCAGGCTATTATTTCACTTCATAAATCATAATTTACAGGGTTTTTTTATATCCATCTTGGGGATAAACACTTTATGCTTTGTGTTTTCAGCAGCAATATAAAATGTAATTGATACTTGAAGCAATATGTTAGAAATATGGACAGAGAAAGCCAGGAGAGAAAAATCACAAATGTTTAGTTTTTCTGTGGGTTGGTCTACATACTGAGCATTTTTTCCATCTGATTTCATATTCTTAGCACTTCAACAGAGGATGATGATGAATTACATTTACATGATTGCTGTCTGTAGGTTACTATAAGGATGTTTCTTTAGTTACAGACACTCAACAGATCCATTGGCTCAGTGGGGTTATTTTGTACCATTTCTTGTGCTGCTAAATAAACTTATTGCTTTGTGCTGTTGTCTTCCAGATCCATGAAAAACTGCATTATTATGAAAAGCAGAACCCAGTGCCCATACTCCATGGTGCAGCAGCCCTGGCAGATGATGTAAGTGTCCCCTGCTGAGTTCACTGGTACCAATTCTCCCAAAAAAACTGTCTGCAAGCAGAACTCCTCACAGTGCAAACATATGAATGTAATCCTCTGAGCTGTAATCATAAGAAGCTGCAAATGTTTCCAAAGGTTCTGTCATCACTGGGCTTGTTGCTGATATTACTTTGATTTTTATTCACTTACATGTTATAAAAACATTGCATCTAGATAGCCTCTTGTTCTGCTTTAGTAACTAGGTAATAAAAATTACAGGTTGGAACTCTACTGGGAGGGGAAAAGCTGTCAACTATTAGTGTTTTGAGAAATTCACAGACAAGAGGAATGCTTTGGAAAAATAAAGACAAATGAGATAGCAGCACTGCTGACAGAACATGAGAAATGACAGATGATATTACAGAAATGAAGCATATGAAATGCCTAGGATGGAGGCTTGTTAAAAAAAAAAAAAAAAAAGAGAAAACTATTTAAGAGAAAGTACAGTAGTGATTTATTGATATTGGAGCTTTCCAAATTACCTTCATAACCAAAAAATAAATTGTAAAAGTGGTCAGCATTGATGGAGTAGTTAATTTCCTGTTACTATAATTTTTATTTTAAGGAAAAAAATCCAACCTGCCATTTCTTGCTATTTGGTTAATTCTAGGATTCAGATGAATTGCAAACACACCTGTATAAACTATGACTGAACCTGAGGTAGGCCAGAATAGAGAAACGTTTAATAAACTGTGGTTTAGGTGAAATCCAGAAACCTTTGTTGCAACTGATGATGTCAGGTTGTTTTTTGGAAAAGGCAGTATGTATTAGGATCTATTTCAAATACAGCATGTTTGAAACTTCACATACTTTATAGCTGGTTTAAACTTTTTATATAATTAGTAGCTTTTGATTTTTCAATGTTTTAATGGTTTAATGTTGTGAATTGAGAATGGTAACATTTTAACAAAAAACTAAATTGAAGATATTTGAAGACTATTGAAAAAAGGATATAAGTTAATTTAATCATGTTTCAGTAGGAGGAGAGCTATACCCTGTAACATACCAACTATAATGATACATTAGCTTTGACATCAGGCATATATTAGTAATATTTTTTTAACCTTCAAGTAGCTTTGAATAATGTTGATAGTAATTTTGAAAATTAGAAAGCTGCTTGAAATTCCCTTCATTAAGTTCTTGCTGACATATTAATAATCCTTGCTAATATTTGTGTTATGAATCTCTGGGCTAAAATTCTTAATAAGAATAATTTCTTATTTTTGGAGGCAAAACTTAGTTCTTGATCTTTGCAGAATTGCTGAGCAATCTCATTCTTTGTTCAGCCCCATTGAAAATGTAGAGTTTTGGAAATCCCCAAATTAAAGTACCCTATCCCTCCTCTGTTAAGAGAGGTTGGACTTTTTAACCCTATGAATGTATTATTATGTATATATTGGTAGTAGTTTTAAAATGAACATATGTTGGGACATGATTGTCTCTAGACATGTGCCTACTTTGTAAGCACAGCTTCTTTTTAGAGATATTCTTGCTGTTTTTTCACTGCTTATGTGCAGCTGAACAGTTGTTTTTATGGGCACTGTCCCATAGGGCAAGGATGTCCTGAGTCAGGTTAACACACTGCAGGATTTTATCTGCTTTGATAGTTATCAGCAAACTTTGAGAAAGCAAATGTACCTGCAATGGGGTTTGGAACTCCAAACCCCATGAAGTTTCAGGATTAAATTGTGATTCAGTTTTTGGCATGTTTTTCTGACATGATTTAAGAGCATGTTGGTGAATGCACTTTCATTTCTAGGCTTTAAATGAATGTATTGTCTTCTTAGTGATAGTAGCTGTTCTATAGTTAAAGAAGGAGGTTTTATTATCAGGTGGATATTTCCTGCTATAAAACCCAAATTTGAGGTGATGCTATCATAAATAAAACTGTTTAAGGAGCGTGTTTTTATTCTTGTGTTAACTTTAAAGCAATATTAGAAGTAACAATATTGCTGAGGCTTTTCCAAACATTTTCATATTCCTAACTGCCATACCTTCCCTCTCATCACTCCCAGGGACTTTTAGGCTGAATTTCCCATCAGAGATTCTGTTTGCCTCTTATTTTGGAGCAGCAGTGTCTGACTCAGGGCTCATGATTTCATGCAAATGTTCTAAACATTGCTAGCCATAAAAGCCTTTAGGTTATTAGAAGTAGTGTTCTGGCAAAAGAAATATCAGAACTTCCTCCAGAAGCTTTAAAGACCATGCCCTGGTGTTCTCCATCTCACCAGCCTCACTCCACATCTGGCACTCTCCCTTGCTTTTTCTTCCCCCCTCTATAGTGGCAGCTCTTCATAAAGAACTTGGTGAAATGTTATGGTTCCTTCAACAGGGAATCATAGAGGAGGTTCTCAGACAGCTTTTCTTGCAGTCTTTGACACAGGAGGTGCTTAGCATGGTCTCAGTATGCTCAGTATGCCATGGAGCTTGTACTGCTGTGCTAGCTGTGACAAATCTCAGCAGTTCAATAACAAGAAGAAATAAAAATCCAGTCTAAAACTGCTGCTAGCACAAGAGGAAGCTCTGGTGATACCTGTTTCCTAATCTGGAAACTTGACTTTGTCTTTCTTCTTCTCTATCAATCTTTGTCTTCCTCCTCTTCTATCACGATTTCATGTGCCTTAAGACTTGCATGGAAATATTTGGAAAACCCATATAAATTATATGAGGGCAAGCAAATTTTTAATTATTTTATCTCCAAAGAATTATTTTCTAAATTATGAGATTAAAACAGCTGATAAAGGAGTAACAAAACTCTTGTTTCTCATTGGTCTAAACCTTATGTACCTACATTTGCCTTTGCACTGCCAAAGCAAACAGCAGTTCCTCTGGAGCTGATAGATGCTTGTGCACAGTCCATGTGAGAGAAATGCTGGAGCAGTCATTCCTACTGAGTCATTAGTAGTCTTCATCAGTGAAACATGAATGATTTTTTTTCTCTGCTGGTGAGCAGTGCAAGCTAAAGAATGAAAAGAGCACCAAGGGTAACCCGTGTCAGATCCCTGCTGTCATTCCTATCTCAGAATATTTTCAGCTTTGCAGATCCTTTCCATGGAACATGCAGACTAGATTGCAGTCAGATTACCTCAGTACTTGGCTTCATGTGTCTAAAATACTTCATTCTGAGCTTTGCTACAGAGGTTGTTTTCTGATCTTTTGGTATTAAGACACAAATATTGTTCAGTACTTGGCTTCATGTATCTAAAATACTTCATTCTGAGCTTTCCTACAGAGATTGTTTTCTAATCTTTTGGTATTAAGACACAAATATTGCTAATATTAGCATTGATGTACTTGGAGAATGTTTTTAGCTATGAATTATAGTTGAAAGGCTGTGGGGTTGTAGGTGATGAATTTTCATTTCAGTCCTGTTACTCCTGGTTTAAATTGAAGGTTAAAAAACAGTTATTCAAACCATGTCTATAATTGCTTCTAGATTTGTCAATTATGTATAATTATGCAAAAGATATGTCTATCCATTTATCTTGCAAATTTATACAAAAAGAAAGTACAAATTTAAAATTAGGCCAGACAAATAAAATTACTTGCTGCAAATAGCCAATCTTTCTTTGAGACATTTTTATGATACTGACTTAATGCAAAGAAAATACGTGATTATCTGAAATCACGTTTTGGATTATGAGCCATGTAGCTTCAGAATTTTAAACTGAAGTTCAGTGTTATGAAAAGCATTTTAGCTTTTCTTTCTTCTGGAAAAATAGTTTGAGTCTGAAATCCTGCAGTAAAATATGCCTCTTGAGTCCAAATTAGTTGAGAATGTCGTGATAAGAAAAACCCAAGGCATGAGCCAAATAACCGTGGGATTAAATGTTAAACTGCTGCTCTATTGTTCAACCAAGCCACAATTTTGTAGTTTAACCAAACTTAAATTACTGATCTTGTTGTTAGGACATAGTTTGTGTGTTTTAGGGGCTTGAATTGCTGATGACCTGTTATAAACTATATTATGATTAACTTGCCTCACGTTTAACAAGCTCCTTCCAGTGTATGTGTAAACATAATAAAAGGTTCAGATTGCCTGCACTGTAGGGGCACTTTGCTTTCTTATCCCAGTCCTAAACAGCACAGCTACTGTGGGTTTTTGGAAGCAGTGTGGATTTCACCACCTCATTCGAAACTGTTTTTTATAGACAGTGTCAAAGTTTGATCCAGTCATTTTTACAAGCAGTTCTTTGTCTGCACGCAAAGGACCATTCACTTAAATGAAGTGCTGGGATTTGCCCCCATCGCCATAAATCAGAATGTGATCTGGCTGCACCCTTGCCAGAAATGATTACTTGTGTTAAACTGAGCCAAAAGGCCTGGCTTAAATCTGGTCCACTGAGGGCCAGAAACAGAAGCGCCGTGATTGATGGTGTTTTCCTTCGTGCTGACTTCTGTTTGAACACGCGGGAAAGCAATAACCTCCAACAAGATAGATTCTGGGTTGTCACTGATGCACTGGGTAAAACAATGCTTTGCTAATGGTCTTCGTGTCAATTCCATCTTCCCCCAGCTGGCTGAGGAGCTGCAGAGCAAACCACTGAGCAGTGAGATGAGAGAACTGTTGAAACTCCTCACAAAACCCAATCTCAAGGTGAGGATGTCTTGCACTTGCTGAGTGATTTCTGCATGGGTATGTGGTGTGTGCTTCTTCTTCCTTGGGCTGCCTGGGGGTTTGTCTGCTGTAACAAGTGTGTGTGCTTTTAATGTTCATCAGAATATACCTGCTATGAATAAACATATTTAATGTTGCCTGTAAATTATTAGGCTGTTACTTATAAAAGGAATTAATTGAAAGGTCATTGCTTATTTATAACAGATATTCCAAAATGTATATGCTTGATTTTTTTTTTCTTTTACTAACTTTTATTGCATGTGCTTCATAAATTTATCACAACTGTGCTTTTACTCAAAGGTTTTAAGTCATACCATTGATTTAATTGCATCATGCAGAAGTAGTGCAACCTGGTACTTGGGATAAAATTCCTGATGGGTATTAATTTAAGAAAAATCTAATTTTGAAAACTTTCTGCAAAATTCTTGGGGTTCTCTGTGGTGCATTCAAGGAGCTTGATGCCTTTTATCTGACAGTAGGTTATAGAACTGTTGAATTGCTGAGGTTGGAAGGAGGTTGTCTGGTTCAATGTGCTGCTCAAAGCAGAGTCAACACTGAGCTCAGAGCAGATTGCAAAGAGCTTTCTCCCATCAGGTCTTGGAAATGCCTATGAAGAGACATTCTATAACACTCTGTGTAGCCTCTTCCAGTTCCTAATTATCCTCCTAGTGAAAACTATTTCCATTTATCCAGTGAGAATCTCCCCTGTTTATCATTGTTAATGCACAGTATCATATTATTTTTCCATTGTTAAGCAGAGGAAGACCTTAGTGCTCTAGATGCATTTTGCAATGGTAATCAAATGCAGCAATTGATAAGTTTAAAAACTTTTATCCAGTGAGAACCTCCCATTTATCACTGTTGATGCATGGTATCATATTATTTTTCCATTGTTAAGCATTTATCCAGTGAGAATCTCCCCTGTTTATCATTGTTAATGCACAGTATCATATTATTTTTCCATTGTTAAGCAGAGGAAGACCTTAGTGCTCTAGATGCATTTTGCGATAGTAATTAAATGCAGCAATTGATAAGTTTAAAAACTGCAGAGCAGAAAGGAGCCTTTTTTAAAACAGTTGATTTTTTACTGCCTGTAAAACACTGATCTCAAAACCTGAGACACGACGATATCTTCAAAATGCTACAAATTGGAAAGATGAATTATGGCATTCTTGCAGTATTGGTTTTTCCATAGTTCGTAAAGGGGTAAGTTCTTTTCCTCTGCAAGGGTAAGCAATGGCAGTGGCATATTAGATGAGGGATTTTTGGTGCATCAAATTGCAGAGATCACTGTAGCTTCAGCTCCAGCTTCACTGTAGGGATTTCCTTAGTGACTGTCCATATGTGTTTCATGCCTTCTGAAGCTTTGGTGGATTGAGTCTGAAGACAACTGTTTTGCCACAACTGCATCTCTCCCTCTCCCTTTCTTGCTCTCACTCACTCACTCACTCACTCACTCACTGTCTGTTTCATGGTAGCAGTGAAATGCAATGTGGTAACTTCAGTGGGATTTCAAGGAAACAAGTGTCTTCCCCTCAGCATGCTTAATATGACTGAACAACTGCAGTAACTTTGGAAATGTCTTACTTGGCTGCAGAGGAAGAAGGCCAGTTGCAGGGTACCAAGCCCTTTGTTGCATGACCAAACTGCCTAATCCAGGGCACATGTGTCCCTGCCCTGCATAGTCTGCAGGTGTTAATGGGAGGTAGGGAAAAGAACTGACAGTATGCATGGTATTTATGCCTATTCATTGTCTTCTTCCCCTGCCATCCCATGGCAAACATGCCTTGGAGAGATGATAAATCCTCACTGCTCCCTCCCCCATCACATTGACCAGGCAAGTGTGCTGCATTCAGTCAGGGGTTGTAGTTGAGATTCTTCTGTTGATTTCCCCTGCTCTCTCTTGGGCAGAAAAGGAAAGGAAGGAAGTTTCCAGGCCTTGGTACTTCCAATTCCTCCCCAGAGATGCCCTCAGTCCATTCAGTTGTATCTGAGCTTATGCATACATTGCAAAAGTTTTTCTAGCCCTTCACTGTTAGGCTGATGGCTAGAGAGGGTTTCTTTGTTTCTTTTGTTCTAGATTCTGGGATAAAATGATGTCCAGAACAACCCTTTTCCACGCATCTGAAATTACTTGTGATAACTGATCCATCTTTTCCAATGATGTTGCATAGACTTTATCTAAAAACATATATAGCTTATTTTGGGATTGACTTAAGGACTAAAAACATATAGCTTATTTTGGGATTGACTTAAGTTGGCTGTATGTTATTCTGCAGGGGAAACTTTCCTCTACTGACCTGGTTTATAACTGCAGTGTTCACTGGAGCCAGGAGAGCTTCCACTTTCCTAAAGCTCTGCTCCAATGTTTATGACATGGTGAAGGATGGTTAGAAATAGTTTGCTGCTCTACATCACTGCTTCCACAAGTGTGGTGGTGTGAAGGAACAGGCCTAGCAAGGTGATTATAACTTTGCAGGTTTGGTTAACATGCCAAAAAAAGGCTGCGAGAGGTTTCCAGCAACTGTCTGATTAGATAAATATTTCTATATTTTAATTTTAGAGAAATTCTTTTGTTGAATATATTTCTGAGTGTTTGCATCTGATGAGTAAAGCTTTGACAAGTTTGTGGTGCTTGTGGTTTTCATCCATAGAGAAGTGTTTTAAAGAAGAAATTAATTTTTCTGAGGCAGTTATATGTATCAGAGGTTTTCAAAATATCCTAAAAGTCATCCCAAGGTTTTGTCAGGTGGATTTTCTTTTGGAAAAAAAAATAAATTGGGCTTTTCTAGTCTTCTAAAAACTGTATGCTGTATCCAGTTACACTGAGTGGGATTTTTTTCCTGCTCTCAAATGTGGCATCACTTACTGTAATTAAATGAACTAATAATGGTTGTGGTTTATCTTTTTTGATTAAAACAGACCTCTGGAAGTAGGAGAGAGCACGTAGCTCTGGGAAATTGAGTGGATTTGTTTAACTGTGTGTTAGACATTTCATTTGTTTTCTAGTATAATTGCAGAGTCTCATGGACACAGGCCAGCCACACATATTAATTTTAATTTCCAGCATTGAATAAGGACTTAGAGTTTGCATTCTGTAATCTTCCTTTACCTTGTTAAAGATATCACGAAATAGAACAATATTTCCATACCTCAGAATCCAAATCTGGTTGAGTACAGTATGTTATTTTTAAGCAGACCAGAAATTAGCTCTTTGAAATAGAATCATAGAGTATCCTCAGTTAGAAGGGACCCACAAGGATCACTGAAGTCCAGCTCCTGGCCCTGCACAGGACAACCCCAAGAACACACCATGTGCCTGAGAGCATTGTCCAAATGTCAGGTTGGTGCTGTGACAATTGCCCTGAGGAGCTGTTCCAATGCCCAACCACACTCTGGATGAAGAACCATTTTCTAATACCCAACCTAAACCTCCCCTGACACAACTTCAGACCGTGCCCTCGGGTCCTGTCACTGATCACCAGAGAGAAGAGGTCGGTGCCTGCCCCTCCACCTCCCCTCATGAGGCAGCTGTAGACTGCCATGAGGTCTCTCCTCAGTCTCCTCTTCTCCAGGCTGAACAAGCCAAGTCACCTCAGCTGCTCCTTGTATGGCTTCCTGTCTAGGCTCTTCACCATCTTTATTGCCCTCCTTTGGACACTCTAATAGTTTTAGATCCTTCTTACATTGTGGTACCCAAAACCACACACAATATTCAAGGTGAGGCTGCACCAGAGCACAGCAAGGTGAGACAATCACCTCCCTTGACAGCTGATGCTATGCCTGATGCACCCCAGGACACAGTTAGCCATCCTGGCTGCCAGGGCACACTGTTGACTCATGTGCAACTTGCTGTCAACCAGGCCCACAGGTCTCTTTCCACAGTGCTGCTCTCCAGCCTCTTGTTCCCCAGTCTGTCTGTACATCCAGGGTTTCCACATTCCAGGTGCAGAATGCAGCACTTGTCTTTGTTAAACTTCATACAGGTGGTGATTGCCCAACCCTCTGATTTGTCTAGGTCTCTCTGCAGGGCCTCTCTGCCTTTGAGGGAGTCAATAGCTCCTCCCAGTTTAATGCATCTTGCTCTCTCTCATTCAGAAAGCCTAAGCACAGCAGTGTTTATCTTCAGCTCTTCTGTCATAACCACAAGTGTGTGATATGGTATTTGCAGTCACTTGAGGAAGATAACTGTTAATAAACACTTCCAGGGTGTACATATGCAAGTTTAAAAGTTCTGCTGAGTTGGTTGTTGCAAAAGCAGCTTAAGGGTTTAACATGTCAAAGTTAGAATGATGGTAAATAACCCAAACTAAGTGTACTAAAACTTACATTGCTGCGTTTGGGTTTCTTAAAGCTGTGAGGTATGTGGGGATTTCATTTGGTTGGTTTTATTAAGTTGTAATAAAATGTATGCCTCAAAGATAAAACCCATAAATATATATATATATCTACATTCATGGCCAGGCCATGCCAGCCTGCAGGTAGTGCTGTGTGGCTCTAGTCAGAATGGTGCTTGGACCTAAACAAGGTCATGCTTGGGTGATTTGAAATGCCAGCACATCAGGCCTGGCTCTGCCTGCCCTGGCTCTCATATTTTAGATTTCTGAAAGTTAAATTTCTGTCCTCCTGTGTTTCCTGGGTATTGCAGAAACAGCATTCCTCACCCATTTCTGCACTGCAGTGGGACAGGCTGTGGGAAGGCTGTGGGCTGGCAGCATCTACAGTCCTTGCCCTCTCCTGCTCAGCTCTCACAAGGCAGGCAAGAGCTTGATGCACCTGTACAAAACCTGCTGAGCTCAGACCCTGCTTGATGGTCTTCCTTCTGATGGATGTGTAGGCTTTTTCAAAAACCTTTTCCATTCGTTCAGCACAGGAGCTGGTGCTCTAAAAGAATTGCATATTAGATAGTCTGTGTAGTTGTACCCCCATTTTCATTATAAGCATCAGGTGAGTGTGGTGTATCTGTTATAACCTCACAC